TGCGCTGCCCGCGGGGGGCGGGGGGCAGGCCTGGGAGGAGGCCGTGGCGCATCCCCCTCCGCGGATTCTGACATTTATTTGCGTCCTTTTCATGCACGTCTCGGTGCCAGAAAGATTAAACCTACCCTCGTGCAAATTGGTGGGAATTGGCGTCAATGAGGCCAGGATTTCAGGCAAGGTGAAAGGGCTTAAAAAGGAACGTTGTTTCCAAAACCAGCTCCTTCTCCCCCCCTTCCCCAGGGAAACAACTTGCAGGGATCCAGCGCTGATTCAGAGGTGCGGGCTGAGTCAATGCTCGAGCTGTCAGCGCCTAACGCTGTTACCAGCTGCAGCTTCAGGATCCGTGGGTAACGTGGCAGAAACGACATGGATAGATTTCAACCCTGCCCACCCCCAGTGCCCCCCACCCCGTTCAGGAAAAAATAAGCTAACATTATTTTTATTGAGCTTCTCAAATAGGTATTAATTCATCTGTCCTGAGAGATAAAAATCCTTTTATTTTTATAATTTCACTTTTATAATTACAATGATATAATATGTTGCAGGGTTTTTTTGTGAAAAACATGTAAATTACTGTATTCCTCTGAAATTATATAGCTCACTTTATTAGAAATATTAGTGGGTCATTAAAACTTATTTAATCTGTTTTGATACCTTAAATGCTGAAAAGGAATCTGAGCCTGTATCCAGTGACTTAGCTCTTAGCGTTTTGTAAGACTGAGGGACTGGCAAACATTCTTAAATTTCAGGTGAGGGAGGGTTAAAAGATTTTCTCTGGAGTAAACAGAGCATTTTCTTGTCTAAATTAGACAATCATATGTTATATGAGTGTCTTATTAATAGCAATCATTAAACAAATGGAGATGGCCTCATTACAGAAACATTACCATAAATCATCATATTCTTACAGTATCATTTCTGTATCAGAAATAGCGGGGCCTCTGTTTAACAGACCCCTTAAGCATATGCTTAAATTATTTTGCTCACAAAGCATTTTACCTATGACTGCAGTGATACCGTAACTGTGTGTGTCATTGATACTCATAGGATATTTATGTCTTTGTCATATGTAAAAATCTGTAAACTTAAGTTGGAAGGCTGTGTTTGCATAGCCATGATGTGATTTCTGAGTTGAAAGTCTTATGCTGCTGTAGAACAATGCTCCCTCATGATATTTATTTATCGTGATATCTGATTCTTTATCAGAGCTTTTTTTGCACTTAAATGATCCCCAAGAACTATTTCTGCAGAGGTTGTAAGTTTCAGAATAAAGTATCTCTTCCGTTTTGTTTGGTTGTTTTTTTTTCTAATCTAAAATTGTATCTCTCTCATGTTTTTGCTCTGATCATGACTTTCCCTCTATGGTTCCCAAAACAAACAGCTGGCTGAACTAGGATTGCCCTTATTTGTTCAACTGGTTTTGAACAGCAGCTCTCAAAAATGTGGGTAGAAAAAGGAAATACCAAACATGCATTTGATTTGCAATCTTACAATTTTAAGGATTCAATTCTATCACTTAAAATTTTAGGTAGAGATAAAACAGTTTGTTTTGTTCATGCAATCCATAAATTTTTAAGGCCAGAAGAGACCATTAGGACCAACTGACTTCCAGCATGGAAAAGATCAAAGACCCAGTAGTATCTGCTTCAAGTCCACCCCTCCTGTTCAGGCCAAACGCCATGTTTTAGAAAAATAGCCTGTTTTATCTGTAAAACCACTCAAGCTACTTATTGTCTTTAGCTGATCTACTTGCCTGAGTGCATAATTTTCAACTATCTTGAAACAATATTGGAGAATGCTTCAAAATAATTATCTGACTCTAAAACCTGTGTGAGGCGGGTGCAGGATTATTGTGGCTGTGGTTGGAGATAAGCATCCTCAGAGAACCAGTAAGGCTAAACCAGACAATTCCACAGAGTCTCAGCTGCGTTGACATAATGGAAACACTTTGCCCATTGTCTGTGAAATGTTTGTTTTTTCAGATATGTTCTGGACACAAGCATCTTTCCAGCTGCCATAATAACCTCCTGTCCTGTGTTTTCGTGTCTTTTGATTGGATCATCTGGCAGGTTTCCACAGGCAAAAGTGGGGGGAAATGTGTCTTTTCCTCGGTGGGTTTATATGGTACTTTCTCAGAAACTTGCTTCTGACCTTCTGTTAGAGATGGTATGGACAAATTGTCAGGAATGGTGGGCAGCACTTGTCCCCTGGCCGGGCGAGACTGGTCAAGCAGAGATTTCAGGTGAGAACGTTCTTCTGGCACAGCTTGCAGGACTGGTGGTTTTGAAAGACAACTCCTCAAAAGCTAATCCGCCAGAAATCAGTCTGCCTTTGGCAGAAATTGCTCCCCTGACCCTGTGCCAGGGAACGATCTCAGAGTTAAGGATGCCTGCTCTCTCGCTGTGGCAGCCCTTCCTAGCCCATGACTTTTCTTGCAGCTCTAGAAAAGCGACAATGGGTGAAGCATCAGTGCAGCTCCAGAGTGATCACCTGCCATGTGGGATGTGGAGCTCAGCCTCCAGCATGGCATTGAAAAGCTTAAGATTTCCTCCGCCACCTCATTAAAGCATGTGAGCTTCTGCATTTATTTCCAAAGGTTTGAGTCAGCCATTGCCCCCTTAGCTAACAGCAGCCAGATCATCTTACGTTTCAGTGTGGACAAACGCACAACACGGCATCCTAGTAATTCTTCTCTAGACAGAGTAATTTTTAATTCTGGTACCAGGCTCTCCTGCCGCAGGACCCTTACTCTGCTGTGAGACTTGAAGCAGCTCCTGCCCTCCCTGGTGCTCCGTGTGAAGTGTGTCAGAGCTGCCACAAGGTGCCAAGATACATCATGGCCCTACTCAGCTCCACGCTGGATAAGCAGTGCTGGAGCAGAGCAAATACGTTTCCTCAGATGATGCTTTCTTCCAGGCATGTGCAGATGACCCCAGCATGAGGCATCAGGGTTACATGAGATACATGAGATATACCTTTTAGTGGTGTCAGCTGCAGTGGGATGAATTTTATGGTAAAGTGAGTTTGCACAATTGGAAATGTAAATTTGTCGTGTTTTTAAGAACATCAGCTGAAAGTACTGCTATTAAATGAGGTGTGAAAGAACTGACTTCACTACCCCCAGAGGATGCTACTCACGAAAGTTGCTTGCCTGCCCCCTCTGTTTCTCCTTCCCATAAAAGGAAAAGCTGACCCACCCATGAAGTCCTCAATGTCAGTAGAAACTCTTGGGAAGTTGGGTAGTACACTCTCGTAGCGAAGGCCAAGCTTCTCTGCTCACTCACGGCTGTGTCCTGGCCCTCAGTGCTCCCTTGGCCACCAAGGGGGATGGCACAGCAGAGCAGAAGTCTCCAGCACCAGTGGCTAGTACCTGTATCACACTGCACCACCGCTGCGGTGCTAAGAGCTGACTGCGGCTGGAAGTCTCACATCCAGAACAAGTGTTTTACCATTGAAACTTTGGAGATTTGGTGCTTACCCCATTCTTTTGTATGATTTTTCCTCCAAGACTCAGTAGTGGTCTTCGCTTCTGCTCAGTACCTTGAGGCATGTGTTAGGCTGGAGGCTGGCTGTGCACTTTCAAGCCTGAGTCAGGCTGAGGATTTCCCAATAAGAGGAAGCAAGGGGGTAATCTGTTTTCCAGTTATGCTTGGGTGTGATGGTCTGCAGGAGCTTCAGCTGCTACAGCCCTGGAATTCAAGCTCTGAGTGAATTAATCCTAATCTTTATCTGGTGAATGTGTTCGTACACTGCCCACCTTGGTTTTGCCACCTGCCAGCTCTGAAGCAGAGTTTGTTGACTTGCACCATAGACTCAAACTTCATGGATTGATTCCTCTAGGTGACATTACTCATAAACATAGAGATTTGCCAGGGCAGAGCTTTGAAGCAGGGCTCTCTAACCATCAGCTGTTTGCAGTTCATCAGGTGGCAGAGCGTGTGGAGGCACTGGGCCAGTTTGTGATGAAGACCAGGAGGACCCTGAAGGGCCATGGAAATAAAGTTCTCTGTATGGACTGGTGCAAAGACAAGAGAAGAATTGTGAGCTCTTCCCAGGTATGCTGCTGGGCAGATGTTTTTTACTCATCTTTTGGCTGTGCTATGTGCCACTCTTTGCAGATGATACCTGTGTATATTGCAAATGTTTTCAAGATGCCCTTAAAGCAATTCGTTGGCAAGATATTTGTTCAGAGAGCACAAATCCAAGCTTCTGAACATTGCTACGGCTGGTGTAGCCAATACCCCAAATATTTTTTTTCCCGTCA